AAATTAGTCTGAGCTGGGAAGCTGTGGCTCATGCTTCTAATCCTAGCTACTCAGGAGGCTGATATCTGAGGATCACAGTTCAAAACAGTCCAGGCAGGAAAGGCCATGAGACTCTCATCTCCAATAAACCACTAGAGAACGGGAAGTGGCTCTGTGGCTCAACTGGTAGAGCACTTGCCTTGAGCTGAAGAGCTCAGGGATAGCATCCAAGCCCAGAGTTCAAGCCCTATGACCAAAGAAAAAGAATTTTGTCTGAGCCATACTCAGGGACACAGGAAACACAGGAGCACTCACAGAAAACAACCAGTTCTCTGTATAACAGTATACACACAGAAGAAGTTGAGTACATGGAGCAGTGGAGGCTTGAAAAAGAAAATGACACAAGGTTGATTGAAAAGAGTAAATCCAATGAGCAACTGATGCAAAATTCCTGTACACTCCACTGCATCTGCTGTTGCTCCTTACACTGGCAGAAAGTCTGTACTTTTTCACCGCTGGAGGATGAGAAGCATCTAAGGCCCTACAGTCTCTTGGGCTGGGGGGGAAAAAAAAGGCAATTTTTTTTTTCAAGAACTGAGACAACTGAGAAATGAAGACTAATCCTCTCAGCACCTCCATTATGGCTTTACATAGATTTTATTTATGAGATGGAGAAAAGGTCAAGATGTAGCTTTCAAAGCCTAGCCCACAGAAATTTTCATGCGAGGTGGCTCAGTGGTAGAACGCTTGCCTTGCATGCCTGAGGCCCTGGGTTCGATTCCTCAGCACCACATAAGCAAAAAGAAAAAGGCCAGAAGTGGTGTTGTGGCTCAAGTGGTAGAGTGCTAGCCTTGAGCTAAAGAGCTGAGAGACAGCACCCAGGCCCAGAGTTCAGGCCCAACGACCGGACCAAAAATGTGAACTGCCTACAAGAAACTCACTTCAACAGCAAATATTTATAAACTGTAAGTTGAAGGATAAAAAAAGATATATCGTGCAAATGGAAACCAAAATTGAGCAGGAGAAGCTATATTTAGATAAAATACATTCCAATTTTAAAAATTATTGATTGGGCACTGGTGGCTCATGCCTGTCATCCTAGCTACTCAGGAGGCTGAGATTTGAGGATCATAGTTCAAAGCCAGCCCAGGCAGGAAAGTCAGATTCTTATCTCCAATAAACCACTCAGAAAACCAGAAGTGGTGTTGTGGCTCAAGTGGTAGAGCGCTAGCCTTGAGCTGAAGAGCTGAGAAACAGCACCCAGGCCCAGAGTTCAAGGCTCATGACCAACAACAACAACAAAAAAGTTTGAAGCCATATCAGACAGACACATCCAAAAGACTTTACAATTAACCACCAAAAAGACAGAAGTGGAAGTGGAGGCATGGCTCAAGTGGTAGAGCACCAGCCTTGAGCAAAGAATCTAGGGAAAATCGAGAAGCCCTTAGTTCAAACACCAACACTAGCACACACAAAAAGGAAGGAAGGAAGGAAGGAAGGCAGGCAGGCAGACAGGGAGGGAGGGAGGAAGGGAGGGAGGGAGGAAGGGAGGGAGGGAGAAAGGGAGGGGGGAGGGGGAAGGACCAAAGAAGACAGGAAAGAATTAAAAAGCCAGGTACAATGACACTTTATAGTATCAACTACTTGAGAGGCTGAAGCAGAAAGATTGCTTGAGCTCAGGAATTTAATGCCAGCTTGGGCAACATAGAAAACTGAATAAAAGCAGGGCATTGGTGGCTAACGTCTATAATCACAAATACTTAGGAGACTGAGATCTGAGAATCTGTGTCCAAAGCAAGCTCTGATAGGAAAGGCCATGAGGTTCTTTGCTCCAATTAATCACCAAAAAGCTGGAAATGGAGCTATGACTCAAGAAACAAGTAAGAGTGCTAGACTTGAGCAAAACAGCTCAGACAGTGCCCAGGGCCTGAGTTCAAGCCCCAAATTACCATGAAGATAGATAGATAGATAGATAGATAGATAGATAGATAGATAGATAGATAGATAGATAGATAGATAATCTTGCCAAGTGTTAGTGGCTTATGCCTGAAATCCTAGATACTGAGGTACTGAGGAGGCTAAGATCTGAGGATTGCAGTGTAAAGTCAGCCTGGGCAAGAAAGTCTATGAGACTCTTAACCATTAAAAAGCCAAAGTAGATGGGGCTGGGAAGGTGGCTTAGTGGTAGAGCGCTTGTCTTGCATGCCTGAGGCCCTGGGTTCAATTCCCCAGCACCACATAAGCAAAAAGAAAAAAGCTGGAAGTGGAGCTGTGGCTCAAGTGGTAGAGCACTAGCCTTGAGCTGAAGAGCTGAGGGACAGCGCCCAGGCCCAGAGTTCAGGCCCCACGACTGGACCCCCCCCCCCAAAAAAAAAAAGCCAAAGTAGAGCTATGGCTCAAGGGGAAAACCCTAGCCTTGAACATGGGCCTATGTTCAAACCTTAGAACTAGCTCACACTTGTAATCGTACCTACTCTGGAGGCTAACATCTGAAAATCACAATTCAAAGCTAGTAAACCAAGAAAGTCCATGAGAATCTTATTTCCAATTAACCACCAAAAAGCCAAGAGACAGTGCCCAAGCCCTGAGTTCAAGCCCCAGTATCAGCACAAATAAATAGTAAATGTAAATAAATCAGTACACATGATACATCATATTAACAGAATAAATATAATATAGTAACATCATAACATCATATTAACAGAAGAATGAAAACCATAGAGTCACCTCAATAAATGCAGAAAATGCATTAAGTAAAAATCAACATTCCTTCATGATAAAAAATCTTGGTGCTAGTGGTGCAGCTTAATGGTAGAGCACTTGACTAACATTCAGAAGGCCCTGGCTTTGATCCCCAGCACCACAAAAAAAATAATAATTAATTAATTTCAAAGTGTCTTTAACTTTTTAGGGAGGTCTTTTCTTTTTTGGTACTGGGACTGAACCCACTTGCTAGGCAAGTGCTTTGAATTGCTTTGCCAGTCCTCAAAGCTTTTAAAAAAAAAAAAAAAAAAAAAATATATATATATATATATATATATATATATGCTGGCCACTGGTGGCTCACATCCATAATTCTAGCTATTCGGGAGGCTGAGATCTGAGGATCACAGTTCAAAGCCAGCCCAGGCAGGAATGCCTGTGAAACTCTTATCTCCAGCTAATGGCCAGAAAACCGGAAGTGGCACTATGGCTCAAGTGGTAGAGCACTAGCCTTAAGCTGAAGAGCTCAGGGACAGTGCCTAGGCCAGAGTTCAAGACCCACTACCAAAAAAAAAGAAAAAGAAAAGAAAAGGAAAAAAACCTAAAAATTAGGTACTGAATGAGTTACCTCAATACAATCAGGACTATCTACATACTGACTGAGAGACAGCTAAAATATTGTCTCTAAGAACAAGACAAAGATGTCCTCTTTCACTATTCTTATTCCACATGGGACTAGAAGTTGTAGATGCGGCAATAAGAGAAGAAATAAATAATATTGTAAATTACGCAATAAAAATAAATATTTTTAAAATGCATTATACTCAAACTGACACATTGACTCAAAACTTCTCTGTATAACTACTTAAAGATTAAATAGAGAAACAGAAAGGCAGGAAGGAAGGCAGGCAGGCAGGAAAGAAAAGAGAGAAAGAATTATAGATAGAATTATATCATCTCATTTTTAGAAAAGACAGAACAAAACTAAGTTTTTGTTCAAGACTACTGCTCTGGGGCTGGGAAGGTAGCTCAGCGGTAGAGTGCATGCCTTGCAAGCATGAGGCCCTGGGTTCGATTCCTCAGCACCACATAAACAGAAAAAGCCGGAAGTGGCACTGTGGCTCAAGTGGTAGAGGGTTAGAGGGTTAGCCTTGAGCTGAAGAGTTGAGGGACTGCGCCCAGACCCAGAGTTCAGGTCCCATGACCAGCAAAAAAAAAAAAAAAAGACTAGCGCTTTACCACTTGAGCCACAATGCCACTTCTGTCTGACTTTTTCTGCTTATGTGGTGCTGAGGAATCGAACCCAGGGCTTCATGCATACAAAGCAAGCACTCTACCACTGAGCCACCTTCCCAGCCCAAAACTAAGTTCTCTTGATGGAGGAAAATAAGGAAGCGCATACCAGCTGTTCATGATACATAGTATGGGAAGTTGGAAGGAAGGTAAGTTGCTTTCTTTCTGCTTTTTTGATTCTGGGGATGGAATGCAATAGTCTTATGTATGCAAACGCACTACTACTTAACCCTATCCTCAGCCATTTTAGTTTTTTGCTTTTTCTCTCTCCCCTCAGTCCTGTAGATTCAAGGCATGAGGCTTGACATTCTACTACTTGAGCCATGCCTTTTTTTTTTTTTTTTGCCAGTCCTGGGGCTTGAACTCAGAGCCTGGGCACTGTCCCTGAGCTTCTTTTGCTCAAGGCTAGCACTCCACCACTTGAGCCACAGCACCACTCCCAGCTTTTTCTGTTTATGTGGTACTGAGGAATTGAACCCAGGGCTTCATGCATGCTAGGCAAACATCTACCACTAAGCCACATTCCCAGTACGCCTTTTGCAGTTATTTCATTTTTTACAAAAAGTGGATCCTATATCCACCTCTAGAATAGCTGGGATTACAGTTATGCACCACCACTCTCAGCTTTACTTCTCTTTAACACTGTGATTCTAATTTCAACACTGGGATACATGGCATTAGGATAACATACACTAATTCTACAACAACAAAAAATGAGGCATTGTCAAAAAGCATTCTTTACCCAATGTCTGGTCGTGGGGCCTGGGCGCTGTCCCTCAGCTCTTCAGCTCAAGGCTAGCGTTCTACCACTTGAGCCACAGCACCACTTCTAGCTTTTTTCTTTTTGCTTATGTGGTGCTGAGGAATTGAACCCAGGGCCTCATGCATGCAAGGCAAGCGCTCTACCACTGAGCCACCTTCCCAGCCCCTACCCAATCCTTCTTACTTCCTGACTGAACTCACATCCCCATCTCATTCCCCATCCACCTGCTCCCCAACCCCTTTCCAGCCCCAGCCCTACTTACAAATGCAGGCAGCAGCCAGCAGGCGGCCAGCAGCATAGGGAGCACCACAGCTGGGGAAGATGGGCTGCACCATGTAGTTGGCAAAGGTGATGGCAATGATGGCCTGGCTGGTGGGTTCGATGATGAGCAGGGAGGTCCAGAGGCGGATGAAGGCAAGAAATCCCCCGAAGGCTTCCAGGATGTAGGCATAGCTGGCCCCCGATTTCTTAATGGTAGTGCCCAGTTCCGCATAACAGAGGGCCCCAAAGACAGAAAAGAGGCCCCCGATAGCCCACACAACCAGAGAGAGGCCAAAGGAGGCACTGTATCTAAGCACCCCTTTGGGAGAGACAAAGATGCCTGACCCAATCATGTTCCCCACTATCAGGCACACGCCATTGAGCAGCGAGATCTCCTTCTTCAGCTTTACCTGCTCAGCTTCTGGCTTGGCCTCATCACCCAGAGGGGAGGCACTGGCCTCATGCTGGGAGGCCACTTCATACTTGGTGCTGTCAACCATGGTAGAAAAGGAAAGTCGTCACCAGCTTCCTGGCATCACCCTCTAAGGAAGAAAGATGAGATATGTTAGGTAGTTTGTAATCACAGAGCAGCTCCCCCTTCACTCTACAGGAGCCAGCATGGGCAGCCCACCCTTCACTTGAGAGACCTCTTCCTTTCTACCTCCAAATAACATCTTCTCCAAGTGACTCAATTTAACTTGAGCACCCATGGCTCATACCCGTAATCCTAGCTACTCAGGAGGATTAAGGTTTGAACCCAGCTGGGGCAGGAAAATTCCAGTAATGAACACAGCAAAAAGCTGGAAGTAGAGGTGTGGCTAAAGTGGTAGGGGGCCAGCTCTGAGCAAAAAAGCTAAGGGACAGCATCAAAGTCCTGAGTTCAAGCTGTAATACTAGCACAAAATTTAAAAAAAAAAAAAAAAAAAACCCACACCTGAATCTTAGAATAAGGTACTTACTCTCCAGAGACAGTATCCACCTCTCATCTTTAGGTTGATGTATCCCACCAGATTCACCAACTAGACAGCTAAATCCTAGCCTCTACATGACATGCAGGGAGGTAGTTTAGCAGCTCCCAGGTGTCATTATAGGGGGTTGAGCCCCAGTTTTCAGCCTATCTCCCTACCGAAAAGAAAAAGTCTCAAATTTTTAAGTCTCAAATTTCACTTGTGCTGAGATGTAATATGAAGACCCAATCCTGCAAGCAGCTAATTTGTGAAATCCCTTCCCAGTGCTCTTTTTTTATCTCCCTAATGGCTTAAGCTTTGAAAAACCTAAAGGCTTTCAGAAAGTTCCTGCTAGAATCACAGCCATCTCCCTGCTCAGAAAATCCATTAACAGCAGCTGGCATCTTCAACCCTGGCAAAACCCAAGTAGCCCCATCCCATCCTGGAAGACACAGGCTCTTTTAGTTTTCTTTTTTTTTTTCTTTCCCTAGATACCCATCCTAGTATCTAGGATTGCAGACTTCAGACCAGCACAATTCCCCCAGAAAAGGGTGGAGTAAGAAAAAGATAACTTAAATAAGCAGTGGAACCTAGACATGCCTGGAGGCAGCTGATGATGCCTTTCCATCCCAGATGATGCTGAAGAGAGATCACCCAAAACCAAGGAAAGAAAATAGCTGAAAGCCAGGCTGAGCAGCAGAGAGCTGAGAAATGCAAGTCAGGCAAATGGAGAGATTCCAGAGCAAGAACAGCGGAGGTGCTGTGGACACAGCATAACAGCAGTGACACTGCAAACACTGCAGGACAGCAGAGGGAGGTTAACAAGGAACATAGGACAAGGAGACGGTGGGACACACACTCACTCCCTGGCCCTGGATCTGAGCAGGTTTCTACTGCAGTTGTCAACAGCAGTCAGAGAGATGAGGCTTCCCAGAACAGTGGTCAGACTGTTCCTCCTTTCAGCTGGCAGTAAAAGGGATGGCCAGACAAGGGCCTACAGATTTAAGTTAAGAAGGGTGGAGAGCCAAAGTGGACAAAGGAAGGAGTGAGGGAAAGGGAGAGGAGGGTTAAGTAACCGTCTGGGTCCAAAGTTCATGGTTCTTTGCATCAGCAAAGGGGGGAGCACTTGGCTCAGCACTTTCTGTGATAAGAAGGCACTCTTAGGAATCTCCTTTGTCAGCTCTGCTCCTGGACCTGGGGCCCAGCAACAAAGCCAGGAGCTGGGTGGCCATCTCTGCAGCCCTTGGGGGAGTTGTGCCCACGTAAGTTAGCTAAGGACAAGGTGGTGGCACCAACCCCGAGACTTGACTCTCTCACAATCTAAACAATTAAGAAAGGCAGGAAGATTGCAGAATGTGACCCAAAGAATTGTTCACATGCTGAGATTAGAGGAAGTGTAACTGCAGTTCTTATACCACATGGTTGGGTGTTCTGAAACAAGAACTGGGTACACTTCCTTATGCAGAGAGATGGGTGGCTGCTGTAAACTTGTGCTGTCACCCCAAATTCTTTTTTTTCTTTTTTTTTTCTTTTTCTTTTTTTTTTGCCAGTCCTGGGGCCTGAACTCAGGGCCTAGGACTGTTCCTGAGCTTCTTTAGCTCAAGGCTAGTGCTTTACCACTTGAGCCACAGCACCACTTCTGACTTTTTTCTGTTTATGTGGTACTGAGGACTCGAACCCAGGGCTTCATGCATGCACTCTACCACTAAGCTACCTTCCCAGACCTGTCACCCCCAAATTCAGTCCTAGGGCCTGAGTGCTGTCCCTGAGCTTCTTTTGCTCAAGCCACAGTGCCACTTCCAACTTTTTCTGTGTATGTGGTAATGAGGAATTGAACTCAGGGGTTCATGCATGCTAGGCAAGCACTCTACCACTACATAACCTTCCCAGCCCTGTCACCCCAAATTCTAAGCCTCAAGCTACTTCAAAAAAACAAGATTAGGAAATGAAGACAGCTAGTCATTAGTGGCTCACACCTATAATCCTAGCTAGTCAGGAGGCTAAGATATGAGGATCCCAGTTCAAAGCCAACCCAGGCAGAAAAATATGAGACTCTTTTTTTTTTTTTTTTTTTGGGTCCGGTCATGGGGCCTGAACTCTGGGCCTGAGCGCTGTCCCTCAGCTCTTCAGCTCAAGGCTAGCACTCTACCACTTGAGCCACAGCACCACTTCCGGCTTTTTTCTTTTTGCTTATGTGGTGCTGAGGAATCGAACTCAGGGCCTCATGCATGCAAGGCAAGCACTCTACCCACTGAGCCACTTTCCCAGCCCCAAATATGAGACTCTTATCTCCAATTAATCAGCAGAAAAGCCAGAAGTAGAGCTGTGGCTTAAGTGGTAGAGCACTAGCTTTGAGCAAAAAAGCTCAGGGACAGAGCCTTGAGTTCAAGCCTTAGGACTGGCACTTGTGCATACGTGCACACACACACATACACATGTATATATAAATACACATATCTGGGAAGTGGAGCTGTGGCTCAAAGTAGTAGGGCGCTGGCTTTGAGCAAAAAGGCTCAGAGATAGCACCCAGGTTGAGTGAGTTCAAGCCCCATAATTGACAAAATAAAATAAAATATACAGAGAGAAGATATAGAGAAGAAGGATAGAGAGAAAATATAGAACGGATATAGAGAATGGATATAGAAAGAAAGAGCCAGGGATGAGGCTGATTAGTAGAGTGCTTGCCTGGAATTTTTTTTTTTTTTTGGGGGGGGGGGGTCAGTTGTGGGGCTTGAACTCTGGGCCTAGGCACTGTCCCTGAGCTCTTCAGCTCAAGGCTAGTGCTCTACCACGTGAGCCACAGTGCCACTTCCAGTTTTCTGGTGGTTTATTGGAGATAAGAGTAACAGATTTTCCTGCCTTGGCTAGCTTTGAATCATGATTCTCAGATCTCTGCCTACTGAGTAGCTAGGATTACAGGCGAGAGCCACCAGTGTGCCTGGCTGGGTATTTTTTCCCCCAGTCCTGGGGCTTGAACTCAGGGTCTGGGCACTGTCCCTGAGCTTCCCCCGCCCCCCCCCACTCAAGGCTAACACTCTACTTCTCTACCACTCTAACACTCTACCACATCACCACTTCTTTCTTTCTTTTTTTTTTTAAATTTACACAGCACCACTTCTGGCTTTTTCTGTTTGTATGTGGTACTGAGGATTCAAACCTAGGGCTTCATGCATTCTAGGCAAGCACTCTATCACTAAGTCACATTCCCAGCCCTGGATTTTTTTTTTTTTTTTTTTGGTCCAGTCATGGGGCCTGATCTCTGGGCCTGGGCGCTGTCCCTCAGCTCTTCAGCTCAAGGCTAGCGCTCTACCACTTGAGCCACAGTGTCACTTCCAGCTTTTTTTTTTTCTGCTTATGTGGTACTGAGGAATTGAACCCAGGGCCTCATGCATGCAAGGCAAGCGCTCTACCATTGAACCACCTTCCCAGCCCCTGGAATTTTTTTTTTGGGGGGTCCGGTCGTGGGACCTGAACTCTGGGCCTGGGCGCTGTCCCTCAGCTCTTCAGCTCAAGGCTAGCGCTCTACCACTTGAGCCACAGTGCCACTTTCAGCATTTTTCTTTTTGCTTATGTGGTGCTGAGGAATCAAACCCAGGGCCTCATGCATGCAAGGCAAGCGCTCTACCACGGAGCCTTCTTCCCAGCCCTGGAATTTTTTTAACATGGAAATAACATTTCACTCAGCTAGCCTAGACAAGCTCAGAATAACAGAAGGAATTAACCACTCTTTGGAAATTGAACCTTACTCTGTCTTTTTAGTTAACTTTAAATCTGTTTGGTTGTTTTGTAGTTTTATTTTTTTTCCAACAGAAAACACTGTCTCCATCTGAAATCCTGTCTGTCTTTCTTAGATCCCCTCCTAACCCTCACTAAATTCCTTAGGGAAGATGATTCTCGTCATTCCATCATTGTAATTTTTTTTTTTTTTTGGGTCCGGTTGTGGGGCCTGAACTCTGGGCCTGGGCACTGTCCCTCAGCTCTTCAGATCTACCACTTCAGCTATAGCACCACTTCCAGCTTTTTCTGCTTATGTGGTGCTGAGGAATGGAAACCAGGGCCTCATGCATGCAAGGCAAGCACTCTACCACTAAGCCACCTTCCCAGCCCATGAGTACATTTCTTGTCGAACATTGTTACCCACTCCTTCATTTTTTTTCTCCCACTATCCCTCCCCCCACCAATCCCTCCTCTCACCCCCGCAATTCTTAATTTTTTATTTTTTGCCAGACCAGTGCCCGGCTTGTCCTTGAGCTTCTTTTGCTCCAGGCTAGCACTGCCATAGCAACACTTCTGGCTTTTTCTGTGTATATGGTACTGAGGAATTGAACCCAGGGCTTTATACATGCTAGGCAAGCACTCTACCACTAAATCGCATCCCAAGCCATTTCTTAAATGTATTTAACTTAGGTAGTGGAAACAAGGGAAGGGGAAGGGGAAAAGGAAAAATAAAACAGAAAGAGACCCTAACCTGGAGTTAGCCTTACCAGTAACTATGCTTCTCCCAAGACAGCCCCATAAACATCTCATATCCATACAGACGCACCCCCACAGGGCTGGGAATGTGGCTTAGTGATAGAGTATTTGCCTAGCATGCATGATGTCCTAGGTTCAATTCCTCAGTACCACATAAGCAAAAAAAGCCAGAAGTGGTGCTGTGGCTCAACTGGTAGAATGCTAGCCTTGAGCAAAAGAAGCTGAGGGACAGTGCCCAGGCCCTGAGTTCAAGCCCCAGGACTGCAAAAAAAAAAAAATGTTACTGTTACAGGAGTAACAGTAATAGCATGTGTGCAACACTGACCCATACCAGACAAATGCAAAGCATTTAAGCATATTATTTCCTTGAACCCTCCCAGCAAGCCAGTCCCAGGAGGCAGAAACTAACCATGTGCAAGGTGCATTAAACTAGAGGGAGAGATCCCACAGCTAAGACCCAAAGCTCACACAACTACGTTATCTCCCCATCTCCCCACCCCCTTACCAGGTCTAGTCTCCAGTCCTTAGATAGGAAAGCAAAGCTCTTCTCAGGGGTCCCTAATGAGTTACCTGAGGGAGGACATGATTAGATTAAAAAGAATGCCCTGCAATCCTTCTGTTAAAAGTTTGTTCTTTGCCTTCCTGGTTGCTCTTCCCTTCCTCTTCCTGGGCCAGCAAGAGAAGTGATTCCAAGTCTGCTTTAGAAGGCTGTGATTGCTAGTGAGCCCACTTAGAAAGCAAACAATAGCCCAAACACACTATCACACCTGCCCTTCTAAGACCAAATTAACTGACACCGAGGATTTGTACCCAAATGTGACATAAACATGTACATGACAGGCACCAGTACTCATATGTGTAATTCTAGTCACTCAGGAGGGTGAGATCTGGAAATTGCAGTTAAAAGCCAGCCCCAGGAAGAAAAGTCCATGAGACTCTTATCTCCAAAAAGCCATAAGTGGAACTGTGGCTCAAAAGGTAGAGAGCCAGCCTAGAATGAAAAAGCTAAGAGTGTGCTCTGCCTCAGAGTTCAAGCTCCTGTACCAACACCAAAAAGGAAAGAAGGAAGGAAGGAAAGAAGGAAGGGAGGGAGGGAAGGAGGGAGGGAGGGAGGGAAAAGAGAAGGGGGAAGAAAAGGAACAAAAGAAAGACAAAGGAATAGAAATGGTGAGGGAGTCTAGGAAAGAAGTCTGCAAGGCCAAACACCTGACTTGGTGTTTAAAAGAAAAGAAAAAAGACCTCTGTTGCCAGACACCAGTGCCTGCCTTATAATCCTAACTACTCAAGAGGCTGAGATATGAGGATCAAGGTTCAATATCAGCCTATGCAGGAAAGTCTGAGAGACTCTTATCTCCAATTAACCAGCCAGAAGTGGAGCTATGGCTCAAGTGGTAGAGCACTAGCCTTGAGGGAAAATAAAAATCTCTCAAAGAATCCTGAGACAAATCAGGCAAACAGCATGCCCTAGTGGCCTGCCCAGGAAATCCTGGGAGGCCAGTAGGTCATAGAAAGTCCCCCACCCCTCTTTTCTCAACCACTGCCTAGCACTATGGGCAAGAAGGAACCAACTTTGGGAGC